AATATACAATCATGTCATCTGCAAACAGAGACAATTAGACTTCCTCTTTTCCTAATTGAATACCCTTTATTTCTTTCTCTTGCCTGATTGCCCTGGCCAGAACTTCCAATACTATGTTGAATAGGAGTGGTGAGAGAGGGCATCCTTGTCTAGTACCGGTTTTCAAAGGGAATGCTTCCAGTTTTTGCCCATTCAGTATGTTATTGACTGTGGGTTTGTCATAAATAGCTCTTATTATTTTGAGATATGTTCCATCAAGACCTGGTTTATTGAGAGTTTTTAGCATGACGGGCTGTTGAATTTTGTCGAAGGCCTTTTCTGCATCTATTGAGACAAATCATGTTGTGGTTTTTGTCATTGGTTCTGTTTATGTGATGGATTACATTTATTGATTTGTATATGTTGAACCTCAGTAAAAATTTAATGTTTCAATATTATTAGATACTTTAACTTTAAAGTCCTAGGGTTTTAAAGAGAGTGATGTAATAAAATTCCGGGGTGTTCATTTACTCACCTAATCACTGACATTTAAACAAACAAGCCTCTCACATTTTAACAACTACAACATCTTTCCTTGACTCTACTTCTCACTCTAGTAACTACCTTCTTTCTTTTCATAGCTGCGTTTCTAAGAGCTTGCTATACTCAATCTTTTTGCTCTCTATCCACTCCTTTCTAATCTAACTTTCTACCAAAACAGTTCAAATGCTCCATAGACCCATTTTATCCAGTGTGTCCCTTCTTGAAACACTTTCTTCTCTTGCTTCCATACTTTACTGATTTTCTCTCAACTCCAGGATCTCTTTTGTAGATTCCTGTATGTTGCTGTTACATGTTAACATTTCTCAAAGCTCAAGTTTGTGGCCTCCTTTTTTCCTCATATTCTAACCTTTACCGACGTAATCTCATTCACTTCTATACCAACAACTCCCAAATTTGCATTTCCTTCCCAGATTTCTCCTTTGAACTCCAGAGTATTGCATACTCTCCATCCCCATGAGGAAATCTCAAAGCCTCCTCTAACTCAACACATTTCAAATGGAATGATGATCTTCACTCCTCCATGCCTGGGTTTGATATCTTGGTGAATGGCACTGTAACCCACTCACCTGCATAACACACAGATCTAGCAATTGGTTTTGAAACTCCCGTCTCCTTAGCTCCCCACCCCATAGTATCCAGTACATTAACAATCCCTTATAAATCTCTCTCAGATCTACCTATAATCTCTGCATCTGTGCTAACACCATCCTAATCCAAGTTAACATCTTTTCCTGCCTGGACTACTGTGTAACCACCCAACTGGCTTTGTGCAGCCCTCTTTTCTAGCTCAGTCTGTCCTTCCCACTGCAACCAGAATAAATGCAAGTATTATCAAGCTGCTTAGATGCCTAAAACCCTTTTAATTAGTAAGCATTACTTGTAGCTGAAAGATCATAATCTGACTGCCTCTCTGGCCCCATCTTGCATCAGGCTCCTCACTTGCTCCCTCTATGCCTGGTATAATTTCAGTACCTTTAATGTGTCCCATTCCTAGCACAGCTGTTCACCTTGTTTGACACGCTTCTCCCTCTGTCCTCCTCAGGTTGCCTAGGCAACTCCTATTCAATTGACTGGATGTAAGGTCATTTCCTCACAGAAGCCTTCCCTGGCCCTCAGACTAAGTCAAATTTCCTTTTTCTGTACTTTCATAGCACTCGCTATTTCATAAAAACGATTGTTGACTTATATGTACACATTTGGTTGTATAATGATTTGATTAATATTTATCTTGCCTACTACTCTATTTAATGAGGGCAAGGACTGTATTTATTATTCTTACCGTTTCATCCTCAAAGCCTATTGCAGTGCCTGGCACACAGTAGGCACTTTCTAAAAGTCTGCTGACTGAATAAACAGAGGAAATGCACAAATGAAGGGCAGAGGTCGTAGTAACTTGCCCAGGGTCAAGATGGCAAGGCTGAGACTATAGTTTCCAGTCCAGATCACCAGCCTTCTGAATAAATATCTTGTCCTAAATTTTGTTCTAAATCATTGGAACCAAAGCAACGTCACAACTCAAGTCCAATTTCTCGGCCTCCCGTTTTCTACAGATGGCATTTATTCAGCAATGGAATGTTGTAAGTATAGTAATTTTTCTTTTTTCCATGAAACATGTTTATCTTCTTGCTCTATTTTGAAGGGATATTATGATAAACGATGCGACTATTTAAAACTTGTAAAGCTTCTTGGGATTCTCAGAAAAAGTACAAGATATAGGTCAAAAAGAGTAATTTTGTCTCTCACAAAAGAATTTTCTGTTTAAAAAATGCTGTTAACTTGAAAAAGTGGTATCTCCTAAAGAACATTCTAATAGGTGGGATAATCATCATCATATTTCTAGCTGCTACGTATATCCCTTCCCTTAAAAGTAAAAAAGGAGAAAATCACTTTGCTGTGTGGAAGTGCTTTGTGTGTTTTATAAAATCCCCATAAAATATTTAGTGGTTCAAGGAACGGCTGCCGCATTTCTAAGGCAAATAGCTTATCCCTGAAAAAGCTTGAGGATCTGACTCTCAAGAGTCTTTGTGCTCTGGATGAATAAGAAATCATTATTTTTGAACTTCCTTGCTCACGTCAGTGACTTCCACCTGCACCCAATCCATTGGTTATAAGTACCCATGAATTGCCTTGCCAATTATAGGCAGGATTACCTAGGAGGACCAGGCAAAACCAAACTCCTGGTAAGCTTTATTAGCCTTTTCTATGATGTGTCTCAGTTTCCATTTCACACCTTGGAGTGGAAGACAATCTCTACTCACACTGTTGTGGTACGTGTCTGTCTGTCTCAGATGTGTGTGTAAGGTGTATTTCTCAGCTCAGGGTATCTGAAGTAATTTCTTTTTTTTTTTTTTTTAAGACCGCTGTCTTAAGGCTTAAAAGTAATTTAAGGTTTTGTTTTTTGTTATTATTTTGAGAATTGCAGTTTCTTTGGAGACAACAAAGTACTTTTTATTCAAAGATGAAAGAGGCATACTCAGACTTTCTATGTTATGTTCATACTTGTTTTGCTTATCACTGTATAACATTCTCATCATGATGGGCTACTTTAAGCTAATCAGTTGGATTTTGGGGTCCTCATTTAGAAGTCAATCTGGAAAAAATATGGCTGTAAAACTTAGATGAACCAGTATGCTATTTCTCCTTCCTTGTCTGCCTTTAGAGATGTTTTCTCTTTCTCTCTCTCTTCCCTGACTATCTCTCTCAATGATCATTGACAGCTCCCCCATTCCCTCTTTCACTCAGCTTCACTCCACCATGACCAGAGCATCTCTCCTGCTACTATGTGTTGCCCTGGTGCTGCTTTGGCATGTGAATGGAGCCACACTAAGAAACAAAGACAAATGGAAGCCACTCAACAACCCCAGAAACAGAGATCTGGTAAGAACACACCTGGGGCCTGGGTTTCAGGATAGAACTAATGCCTCTTTGGATTTATTCACACAGCATTCTGTTTTCCAGAGCATAGTGGAAAGGGGGCTACCAAGGGTTGAGAAGATTCTCCAACAGGATTGGACCAGAGTTTTACTACCCTAGTGGTTGGCAACCTATTGTTTCTCTGGCCAGTTTACATTTGTTTCTGTAAAGAGAAACAAATTTATATTTAGAAACAATCTTATATACACAGAGTGCATTTCATTTGTAACTGATCTTATATACACATTGACTTTGTAGCCTTGACTTCTAATACATTTACAAAACCAAGAGTGTAACAGGGAATTGCTCATGCGTAGCTTAGATTGAACTGATGATAAAACAAATTATCATGTAACTAGCAATTGCCAAGCTCAACTGCAAAAATTGAAAGTTGGCCCTGCATGGGTATCAATTTGCTGGGCATATTTTCAACATATTCTATAAAATAGAATTCAAAAGATCAGTAAACATTCTCTTTAAAAAATATGCCAAATACAATAAACATGCTGACATGACTATTTTGAAATATGGTTTTTCTAAAGTGAATGATGTGAAATATAAAAACATAGGATTAAAATAAACTGAGATAAAAGACCAGCAGGATTTGTTTTCTGGTCACAGCTGCTGACCAAAACAGGATCTGGTCCAGACAGGATAAAGTAAAAACACTGGGTGAAACCAGCAGATGGCGACAAAAGTGGTCCCGACCTGCTCTCATTGCTCATTAGGATATGATACTCCCCTTAGTGCCATGACAGTTTACAAATATCATGGCAATGACCTGGAAGCTACCACTCCTTTCCATGGCAATGACCCAAAAGTTACCACCTCTTTCCTAGAAAGCTCTAAATAACCCCCTTCTATTTGCATTAACCCATACCTTAATTTGCATATATTCAAAAATGGATAAAAACACAGTTGCTAAGAACCTATATGTTGTCAACTCTGGGTGCACTACCTGTGAGTTAGCCTTGTTCTGGCAGGAGCAGTATCTTTCAATAAAAGATTGTTACCACAGTCAGCCTGCCCTTAAATTCTTTTCTGGGCAAAGCCAAGAACCATCCTGGGCTAAGCCCCAGTTTTGGAGTTTGCCTGTCCTGCCGATATCGAAGCAAGTAGCACTTTGCACATCTTCTGTGTTCATTTCCTAATGAAAATCTGAAAAGAAACTATTGAAGAAGGCAGTGACAGAGATCTCATCTTAAGGAAGAGGAGATACTGAGCTGCTTATTATGGAGTTCATTTTCATCTTTGACCTTAGTACTCAGATAGTTCACAATGAATCTTTCGACTGTGGTGCTGTTCCATAGTCTTCCTTCAATTTTCACTAAAAATGGTGAATTATTTTGGTTAGGGTTGAAATATCAGAAAGAAGGTACAGGGGAGGGGAGGAGAAGTATTTGAAGCATGTACTTGTATTTCTGGATTTTGATTTCCAACCTCTTGCCTCTTAGATTAGCCTTAAAGTCAATTCAGGGGAAAAACAGGGAAAAAAATCACCTTTATTTTTGGTGTTTCATTTATATCTGGCATTGATCATTTTCTTTCTCTCTTTAGTTTTTCAGAAGCCTTCAGGCATATTTTAAGGGCAGAGGTCTTGATCTTGGAACATTTCCAAATCCTTTCCCCATGAATGAGAATCCTAGACCTCTCTCTTTTCAATCAGAACTTACTGCTTCTGCATCTGCAGATTATGAAGAGCAGAAAAACTCCTTTCACAATTATCTTAAAGGCTGAAAGTTTCTTCTGAGCTCAGGTAAAAGTTGACCCTTTATTCGCAGGATCTGTCTAAACATACAAGTCAGCCATAAAGTAGATATTTTGAAAGTATTTATTTGAAAAAATAATTTTATTTCCTCATAGGAATAAGTGCTCAGTTCTGCTTATACTCCTCACTGTTAAGTATTTGGATTTAGTTCAGGTATTTTACAGTCTTGTTTTAAAAAGAAATGACAGTTTTTATTTTTTAAGCATAGTTATCCAGGCAGAGACATATTAAAATAATAAAATTATCTCTCTTAATAGGATTATTAAATTAATAACATGGCCACACTCTTACCTGTATCTTTTTCCAGACCAAGTGATATAGCTAAGTTATGTGGAAAATCTACATAAAGACATATGTCAAATTGAGTTATTGGATTAGATGGGAATTAAAAATTAAAAGAATGGTTTTTTGGGGGATAAAGTATTATGCATATATTTGAACTTCAACTTCCTCACCTATAGAAAGAAAAGGTTGACTATTAGTAAAGATGGCATTTTTCTCATAGAAAAAACTTAAAAATTTATTAAGATTTGAATTTCATTACTTTTTTTGTTGTTGTTGAGGTGGAGCCTCACTCCGTCACCCAGGCTGGGGTGCAATGGTGTGATCTTGGCTCACTGCAACCTCTGCCTCCCGGGTTCAAAGAATTCTCCTGCCTCAGCCTCCTGAGTAGCTGGGATTACAGGTGCCCGCCACCATGCCCAGATAAATTTTGTATTTTTTTTAGTAGAGACAGGGTTTCACCATGTTGGCCAGGCTGGTCTCGAACTCATGACCTCGTGATCTGCCCACCTCAGTCTCCCAAAGTGCTGTAATTACAGGCATGAACCAGCACGCCCAGCGAATTTCGTTACTCTTATTACTTTAGCATTCCTATCAAACCAACACATACCATTTAAAAAGAACAAGTATGATTGGCCAGGCGCGGTGGCTCACGCCTGTAATCCCAGCACTTTGGGAGGCCAAGGCGGAAGGATCACGGGGTGAGGAAATAAAGACCATCCTGGCTAACATAGTGAAACCCCGTCTGTACTAAAAACACAAAAAATTAGCCGGGCGTAGTGGCGGGTGCCTTTAGTCCCAGCTGCTCAGGAAGCTGAGGCAGGAGAATGGCATGAACCCGGGAGGCGGAGCTTGCAGTGAGTGGACATGGCGCCACTGCACTCCAGCCTGGGCAACAGAGCGAGACTCCGTCTCAAAAAAAAAAAAAAAAAAAAAGGAACAAGTATGGTGAATTCCAAGCAAATACATTATGATTTCAATCCATTAGCTTTTTGTTTAGCTGAATGATAAAGGGAATGGAATCATAATTAAAATCTTTTCCCGTTCTCCCACAGTGTAATTTTGAAATTCTGAGGAAGCATGTCTTTCTTGTGCTTCATGGTGTTTGTGAAAGGGTTTTCATTATTAGTTCTTTTAAATGTGATGATTAAAAAATAATGATTGCTATTCTAAAAAGAACATATAACTTACCATGTGGAATATGCCCTTGGATATTGTTCTAAAATGAGAAAATAAAATAGAAGAAACAGTAAGATATTAATGAAGTTTTCTCTTTACTATTTTTTACACTTAGGCCTTAGGGTTTCAGAGAATAGTTATTAATAGCATACTACCTCTCTTAGTAAAAGGCAGATAAATTGCTTGTAAGCCTCAGCTTGTTCATCTGTAAATTGCAGATACTGGTTTCTACCTTACAGAAAGTATCATAGAAAATATCAAATAAATACTTTCATGTGAGCATGGAATGAGGTAATATTTAAGGGCAGGAAACTGATAAAGCACCCAGTTGGTGGTATCGTAAAAGAACAGGAATTATTCACCTTTATGGAAAAAAAAACAAAACACAAAGCTTCTGATTTGGAGTATATTTCATAATTATGAGCTCTATGTTCCTTACATCTCTGGTGAGAAAATGATGAAAAAAAGAGTTTTCATTAAAATATGTTGATTTGGGGGTCGTTGGTTTGACTGTGTAGTCTTCAGTTTCTATTTAATTATAACATTGTCTTGTTCTTTCAGGTGTCTGGCTATTGTAAAACTACAGATGAAGCCTCTCATTAGAAAAATTCAACCACTGTCGTAGCTAAACTTTCGTGGAGTTTCTTTCCCCCTCACTTTTATTTTTCAGTTTGTAATGATTCTATTCCACATTTCCATATTTACATATAAATCGCTGGAACTATGATTTCTATGCATATTTATGGAGTGTTTTTCCTGTACAACCATAAATATTGATGTAGAGCAGTGCATGCATTTGTAGGAGTTACAAAAACATCACAAACTGAAAAAAGATTATAATCTAAATTAGATGTTTCTTTAAGCTTGTTTTTAAAACGTGTCTTTTAAGTTTATTATCTTTTATCAACCAATTTTTTTTAAAGGGACATGCTCACTTTTAGTATAGTAAAATTTATTATATGTGATAGGGGGTTGGGTTTAAAATTTGTCTTCCTTTCCTAAAAAGAAGATGCATTCCCATGTTCAGCATACACTACTAAAAGACCTCACAGTTTTAGTTTCATAAGAAATGAGGGCAAGTGATAAACAGCCACAATTAAGTTAAAATGGAAGCAAACAACCACAACAAACATGGGATTCTAGAAGTTGTCAATGCCTCTGAAGATGCTCTTTGCCAGAATATTCAGAGGTGGACATTGTGCCACATCAAATATTCTAGCAATGCCCCAGCCCTTGCTCTCATACACAACCTCCTCAGGAAGGAAAAGTAGAAACAGGTGATTTCCTCTCTTTCCAACCAGCCCCTGCCCTCCTTACTCTAGCTCATGCTGAGTTATTCTGATTCCCATATTCACATTTGGAATAGCTGCTTTTCCTGTATCTTTATAGATAGCTGCATCATCTTCTCTATGATTCCTGCAAAAGGAATGTTGCACTAAAATGCAACATTGTCCTAACATTAGTCTGTGCATTTCAAAATAGTTTACTGTGGCTTTTTTTTTTTTTGGTGGATTATTGATATTGTATATGAAGAATAAAATATTTGTGCAAGAACAGATTTTGTGTCTGGTTTAAGATGTTCTATTGTAATTAGTCGTATATGTGTCTGTTTCCCCTGAAGAGTCATGAGGTCTTTGTGAGCAGAGACCATATCTAATTCACCTTTATTTCCCCAGCAGCTAGTACGATGCCTAGCATGGAGCAATTGTTCAATAGATACTTGTTGAATTGAAATAAACATGTGCTATTCATCCAGTCTTCACACAGTAATGGAAGCTCCTTTTAGTTAATGTCAAAACTTTTTTTCTTGCCATTTAAAAAATGTAAGTAATTCTTGATGAGTTATTCCTCATAAAAGTATAGCTTATTCATATAAATGGTAGAGTGGTAGGGAGTTTTTCACCTCTGTCGAGTTCCAAGTACTAGTGGTTGGTTTTCCCTTTCTTAATACTGTCCCTGCTCTGGGTGTTAAGACCTCCACAAAGGGAATGCTTACCAGTTTCAGGGCATTGAAAAGGAAGGGCGTCCACATGGGACATTTGGACAATGCACCCAGCCTGCCCTATCATTTTGACAATCAAAACCTCCTGGGGGCTGGGCATGGTGGCTCATGCCTGTAATCCCAGCACTTTGGGAGGCTGAGGTGGGCAGATTACCTGAGGTCAGGAGTTCGAGACCAGCCTGGCCAACATCGTGAAACTCTGTCTCTTGTAAAAATACAAAAATGAGCTGGGCGTGGTGGCTCACGCCTGTAGTCCCAACTACTCGGGAGTCTGAGCCAGGAGAATCACTTGAACCCGGGAGATGGAGGTTGCGGTGAGCCGAGATCGTGCCACTACACTCCAGTCTGGCAACAGAGCGAGACTCCGTCTCAAACAAACAAACAAACAAACAAAACCCCAAAACCTCCCTACACACATTTCTAAAATTCACTAGGGAAATGATTTTGCTCTTGGCTGAGAACTACTGCCAGAACATAGATGAAGTGTATGTAGTGTTTGTTCCAATGCAAATAAATGTTCTGCAGGTGTTTTAGGCTCTGGAGGAGTCTCTGATACTTCCCTATATAGGTCCTTGGCAATCTCTCAACACTGAAAGGAGCCTCTGCTCCTCTTCAGTGAGTGTCTCATTCCCCAGCACTTGGCCTATTGTCCTCTGTCCCAGATCTAGGGTGGCCAAGAACTGTTAAGAGTGTGAGCTTTTATCCTACTTGCAAGCTACACACTAGCTTTCTACACTTTTATCAAACTTGGCAGATACATGAGACACCTTATGTCTGAGACAACTGACTTTCTTACTGATGGCATGGCAGGTAGTGACATGAGTTTTACACTTACATCAGTTTTCCTTACTCCCCAAGTATCAAGGGGGCCATGTGAATGTGCGTCCAGGTGTATGCTGTGCACAGTGGGTTTGTGTCAAAGCTGAGGAACTCCAGCCTTAGGCAATCCCCACTCTTCTAATGGCACTGCTAGCAAATACGCCCAAACTTTGCCCAGAGGGAAACATTTATTACACTGTTCGGAAAAAAAATTTGTTCCCTGCCCCAGAAAGAGACAATAGCTCCACCGTGCAAGGCTGTTTGATTTGAAAACAGCCTTGAAAGGCTAGCCTAGAACAAAGCTATCACAAGCTTTTTCAGAACAATTAATAAAGTCATGGAAAAATAGTCTCCCACATAGGGTCCCAGCCCATCCTGGCTCTTTTCCCTGGCAAGAAGAAAGAATGTATGCTTTTAATTACATGGTCATGGTAAAAATTCAATGTTCTGCTTCCTTCAGACTTTCCATTTTGATTTTCAAAACAAGCCTGAATGTATTTTTCCACTTCATCTCCATAACCATTCCACTTCATCCCAAGGTAATGTGGATACCTCTGACTCATCAGGAGACAAATCTCTCCCAAGGAAGGGGGGGAAAGAAAAACAGAAAGATTGAAATTTCAAGATATGTTGCAACAGTCTGACTGCTAAAATAACTTTCATGTCATTAAGGTGTTCCATAGCCAAAAAAAAAAAAAAAACCACCCTCCTACCCCTTGTTCACTGCTTCCTGTTCTTCATAATATGAATCTCTATCTCCAGAATTGTTATTCCCATATTTCAGATAGCCAACAATAAGACAAGATAGTCTAAGTCATCTGGGTCTTAGGAGAGTATTCTCCTTATAGGTAACCATCCCTCCTCACTTGATTTCTCTTCTTTTCCCCTAGGAGAGTTAGGACTCAAGATTCCTAAATTCCACTTAGACACAGTTCCTCCACTGTCTGGAAAAATTTAGAGGAGAATTTCCCTGTAAGTGGTTTAAGTGGATTGCTTTAACATACTCCACCCTGCTCACCTTCCATATTTTATACGGAGGTAGGACTCTGAGGATCCTTCCTCATGAGAAAGGGAATGACTTCTAGCTGAAAGATATATATATATTTTTTCTCACCTGGCAGTCCTGTCCTTGCAGGTCCTGGCCCCTCATTCTCCCATCCTTCTGCTGTTTATCCTCACCAGGATTGTCATAAAGATGGCTAGGTGATACTCTCCCTGTAACTTGTCTTTAACCTTAGCTTCATATTGAGCTTCATTTCCCTACTCCAGCTGCCTTGCCCCAGGTTCCAAAGGCACTTTCAATTCCATCCAATATAATTCACAAATGTGTTTTCAGCACAAATTATTAGGCCATACAGTAGGGTTTACAATGATGCATCAGTTAGGGCTGTTGTCAAGATGTTTACAGCTAGTGTCTCTAGAATTGGACAAATGGATAATTATAATATAAGGGAAAATATAAATCACAGGAATGTGGAGTTGAAAAACAGTACCATTCAGAGAAGGCAGTATATTATAGTTCCAAGCATGGGACCTGGAGTCAGAAACCAGGGTTCAAATCCTGGCTCTACTACTTATTAGATAGAGACAATAGCATTAGGAATAACACCTACTGAGAAGAAAGGATTATTTTGAGAAATGTATGTAATATGTATAAAAGAGTAGATGGCCTATATATTTATTATACACTAATACGGGCAACAGTGTGTAGTAACCATACCAAGTATTTGGTTCTTTCTGAAAGTTTGCTGTTAGGAAAGGAAGAAAACTTGGGTGGGAGAGGTGGAACAGGAAGCCCAGGTGAACGTATTTACAGACTGAGAAGGTGCTTGAGGAAAGGGAGAGTTTGAGGATTTCGGGTGGGAGCAGGGCGCGGGGGTGGGGGAGAAATGGCGGGAGTGAAATTTAAAGCATACATTGGGGGAGGGTTTTAGCTTTCTGTGGCAGGGGAGAACTGGAGAGTGAAACATGCACGTGGCAGAGCAAATGGTTCAATTAAGAAAAAAATATCACACAGCAGTGACCAAATTAATTTAAAGAACCTTCAGGAAAGAAAATGGATTGGGAGAGGCCGGGCGCGGTGGCTCACGCCTGTAATCCCAGCACTTTGGGAGGCCGAGGCGGGCGGATCACGAGGTCAGGAGATCGAGACCATCCTGTCTAACACGGTGAAACACCATCTCTACTAAAAATACAAAAAATTATCCAGGCGTGGTGGCGGGTGCCTGTAGTCCCAGCTTCTCGGGAGGCTGAGGCAGGAAAATCGCTTGAACCCGGGAGACGGAGGTTGCAGTGAGCTGAGATCGCGCCACTGCACTCCAGCCTGGGTGACAGAGCGCGACTCCGTCTTTAAAAAAAAAAAAAAAATGGATTGGTAGAATGAAACTAACACTTAGTGAAGAATTGAGGGAAATCACCCAGGTTAAAGAAAATATATTTAAAGCACTTTTTTTTTTTTTGAGCTATCTAACACTCCGCACCGAGAGCCGAGCCAGTCGGCCGACCGAGTCTGCAAGGGGCGCGCCTCCTATATATAGGTCCCGGCCTGGCGCGCACGCGGAACCTGAGTGCTGCGACTGCGGCGCAGACCCGGCGGGTTTCGCGGAAGGACGCCGGTTCCTTGCTTTTGCTGGCCCTGGCGAGGTAGCGTCTGGAAAGCGCTGCTCTTCCGGTTCTCTGTCCCGGTTCCTGGGGTTGCACAGACAGAACCTGCAAACATGTCAGGGTTCAGTCCGGAACTCATCGACTACTTGGAAGGGAAAATCTCCTTCGAGGAGTTCGAACGGCGGAGAGAAGAGAGAAAAACCCGCGAGAAGAAAGTGAGGCGATGCTAGGCCTCGGTGCCCTTCACTCTCGTTGCCCTAATACACTTAGGTGTCGGGGACCCAGACGACCGCTTTCACCGTGATGGGGGCGGGCTGGGAACTTTCAGCAGCTTCTTCCTTATCTTACCGAAACTCCGGTTTTCACCCCTCATCCCTGTGCTAAAATCCTTAAAACGTTTTCGCCCACCGAAAACCTTTCGTCTTGGTGGTAACCTCTTCTTTTTCCCCCTAATACTACGTTTTTATTTCAGGGTAGCTTAACGCTGGTAAGTTAAATGGGAGGTGGGGAGAAGAGTTTGGAGTTACAGTCTAAGGTTCCAGTCCTAGCTTTGCCACTAAGTCGTTTTGTGACGGTGGGTGGGTAGCTCACCTCTCTTCTTTAGGCCCCAGTGTCTCCTTTTCTGAACTGGAACGATTGAGCTCCTGTTTTTGAGGAGTCTCCGCTGGTGTGAAGTAATAGTCCATGAAAAAGTATTGTCCGATAAGAAGATAATCTTCACCCATACCTTTTTTTCCCCATACTTAGAAATATCTGAACGTTTTGTATCTTCTTGCTTACTTCAAGTCCAAGAGAAAATAAAAGTAATGAAACGTTTTTAAGTTCGCTGGCAGATTCTTTTTTTTTTTTTTTTCAGACGGAGTTTCGCTCTTGTTGCCCAGGCTGGAGTGCAGCAGCACGATCTCGGCTCACGGCAACGTCGGCCTTCTGGTTTCAAGCCATTCGCCTGCCTCAGCCTCCCGAGTAGCTGGGACTACAGGCGCCTTCTACCACGCCTGGCTAATTTTTGTATTTTTGGTAGAGACGGGGTTTCACCGTGTTGGCCAGGATGGTCTCAAACTCCTGACCACGTGATCCACCCGCCTCGGCTTCCCAAAATGCTGGGATTACTGTGCCTGGCCGGCAGATTATTT